GGCTTTTAGATTTGTTGGTAATTTACTTTGATGTGCATAAACCTTTTATTTTGATGTAGTCCCAATAATTTAGTTTTGCTTTTATTTCTCAGGGGACATATCTAGAAAGATGCTGTTACAACCAATGTCAGAGAAATTATTGCCTGTGCTGTCTTCTATGATTTTTATAGTTTTAGGTTTCACATTTAGGCCCTTAATCCATTTTGAGTTTATTTTTGTGTATAGTGTAAGAAACTGATCCAGTTTCATTCTTTTCCATGTGGCTATCCAGTGTTCCCAATACCATTCGTTGAAGAGATTGTCTTTTCTCCATTTTATATTCTTGCCTCCTTTGTTGAAGATTAATTGACTGTATAATTGTGGCTTTATCTGAGCTCTCTACTCCGTCCCATTGATATATGTCTATTTTTGTGTCAGTACCATACTGCTTTGATTAACACAGCTTTGTTATATAATTTAACACCTGCAATTGTGTTAGCTCCAGCTTTGTTTTCCTTTTTCAAGATTGCTTTTGTTTTTGTCGTTCCACATGTATTTTAAGATTGTTTGTTCTAATTCTGTGAAAAATGCTGTTGGTATTTTGATAAGGATTGCATTAAATCTGTAGGTTGCTTTGGGTAGTATGGACATTTGAACAATATTGCTTCTCCCAGTCCATGAGCATGGAATATCTTTCCATTTGTTTGTGTCATCTTGAATTTCTTTCATCAATGTTTTATAGTTTTCAGAGTACAGGTCTTTCACTTCTGTTCTTAAATTTATTTCTGGATATTTTATTATTTTTAGTGCAGTTGGAACACAGAATTGTTTTCTTAGTTTCTCTTTCTATTGCTTCATTTTTAGTATATAGAAATACAATGGATCTCTGTACGTTGATTTTGTATTCTGAGACTTTACTGCACTCATTTATCAGTTCTAGTAGTTTTTTTGGATGAGTCTTTAGGGTTTTCTATATATAGTAACGTGTCATCTACAAATAGTGTGAGTTTTACTTCTTCCTGAACAATTTGGATGCCTTTTATTTCCTTTTCCTGTCTGACAGCTGTTGGAAAGGTTATTTTTTTTAACTTTCTTAATACAAAGGACATATACATTTGTTCTAGATAAATAGAAATATACAAATTAGTCACAATGAAGAAAATTAAAAATATGAAAGTTTAATATAGGATGTTCTGCATTCTCATATTGAGAGTTGAATACATTTTAAAATGCATGACTTACACTCAATGAAGCATGGTGTATTTAATGCATTTTACACTTAACACTAGGAGGTACATGCTACCATTGTCCTCATTTATAGATGAGAAACTTGAGGCACAGAGAAGTTCAACAATTTGCCCAAGATCACAAAGCCAGTGAGAGGATCTAGCATTTGAACTCAGACAGTCTCACTCCAGAGTTCAAGCTCATAACCACTACACTTTTCTCCCTATAGGTACGGAAAGCCAAAAAAAAAAAGCTTCAGAAAAATCTATTTTTATTTTTATCTATTAATTCTTTTTATTGAGGTATACCAGATAAAATTTTAAAAAGATTTTTATTTATTTATTTTAGCGCGTGTGTTGGAAGCACACATGCACAGGGGAGGGGGAGAGAAAGCAAGAGTGGGGGAAGGGGCAGAGGGAGAAGCAGACTCCCCACTGAGCAGGGAGCCTGATTCAGGCTCCATCCTATGACCCTGGGATCATGACCTGAGCCAAAGGCAGACGCTTAACCAACTGAGCCAGCCAGGCACCCTTGAGGTGTATCAGATAAATTAAGTATTTCTCCACTTATGGTGTTCAAAGTTATTCCTGCCTGAAGTAATCCTTTAGCATCTGGACAAATATCCAGAAAGCAGTTGAACAACCCACAAATGCCCAGCAGTTCCCTGGGCTGGGTGAATTTTTTTAATTCAGGCCCATGGGGAGCCAGTATGTATGTGCACACATGGATGCTGCTTCCATGAGAAGAGAATTGTCTAATTATTACTTTTAGACATCATCTAAAGTTTAGCTTTGCTAGAAAGAAGACAGTTCTGCCCCAAGTTTAGGTGAGCATCAGCTTTCTGCTCGTTTGGGTGTCAACAGCCCTTGGACTCCGAAGCTTTCTGCCACTCACTGGAGTGGTGAGCCAGGCCTGCTTTCTTGGTTTAGTCATTAATAGACAAAGAAATCAGGCATTCTAATCCAAACAGGAGCTACTTCTCAGCCTCCTCATCTCTCCTAGAGATCTAAATGAGGTTAACTTCCTCATTATTTGTTGATTTTGTACAAATGCTAGATGATCCAGAGAGGAGAGCCATAGAAATTGGCTAAAAATTAATTATAATTCTAGTTTGTGAGCCATTGTTTCAACAGGTCTCCTCATTAAGTGTGATTTTCCAGTGTACCCATTGTCTTTCTAGAGCTTCTTCTCCCCTGGTTAGCCTTCTGGGCCCTCATAGCATGTAGCACTTCCTCTACTGTCTTGTAATTGCTTTATGTGTCTTCCCTGCCTATTTCTGTCCTGTGGTGCATCGATGCATGCCAATCTTGCATTGGAAAGCAGTCGATGTTACAGAAAGTTCCCAGCATTGCCTTCTCTGCTCTGAGGCACAGCAGGTGCCCAGGATCTGTTACCTTCTGCTTTCCGTCCTGATGACCTGTGTAATCAGGTGGTAGCTCGAATGCCACACCAGGAGAGCAGGCATCCCATCTGACTGCTCCCCATGAATCCTCAACATCTAGCACAAAGGCTGCTCACAGTAGTTTTTTTTTTTTTTAAGTTTTATTTATTTATTCATGAGAGACACAGGGAGAGAGGCAGAGACACAGGCAGAGGGAGAAGCAGGCTCCCTGTGGGGACCCCGATGCGGGACTTGATCCCAGGACCCTGGGACAGGGCAGGCAGACACTCAACCACTGAGCCACCCAGGCATCCCCATAATAGATGTTTTAAAAATATTTGAAAATGAATGAAGGAGCTAGAGCAATGAGAATTCACATAAAGTTGGGTGGAAGCAGGGTTTTTTCTTTCATTCATTCATTTCCCGACTCATTACCCTGTAACAGGCATCACGTGAACTTCTAAGGGGGAGGGTAACAGTTTGATACAAGCTGATATACTGGGCTGGGCAGGCACAATTGAATGGGGCCCCTAACCTCATGTGGGGCAGTGGCAGGGGCAGGGGAGGGCAAGCTTGTCAGGAAGGTGGGTGATTTGTGGAACTGATGTTTAACCAGATCATTAGTTGGGGGGTGCAAATGAAAGGGGTGAAGGGACAGGAACGTGGGAGTGGTGGGAAGTCCGGCCCAGCAGAAGCAGTTTATGAGGCCCAAGAATGAGCATTGCCATTTGAGGAACGGCAAAGAATCCAATACTGCTTAGTACTGCGTAGCGTTCAGGGGGTCGGTGGGAGGCTGGAGCTGAGGGGTGGGGTGGGGGTGTGCGGATCTCAGTGGTCACAGGGTCAGGTAGGGGGAGACGGGTGGCATCCTTGGGCAAGTGGAGAGCAGCTGAACAGCTGTAAGAGTTGAGTGACATCAGATTTATTTCAGGAAGTCACTGAAGCTGGAGAATGAATCGGAGGGGATGAAGGGATATGAATTGGGTGAGTTTAGGCTGGCTTGGTTTAAGGTGGTGATGGGGTGGCCGGGGAGGAGCTGTCAGCAGAGCACAGAGGTGGGAACGGGGGTGTGGAGAAGTACCTAGTTTGCCTCCTGTCTTCAAAAAAGTCGGAAAAAGCCCCAGCCAACTGGGTTGTAAATACAGTGTCATTTTAGTCCACCTCCGCCAGAGGAAAAGTGATGTTCTTTGCTGAAGACTGTGCACGGATGTTGCACCGAGGGATGAGTGCACAAGTCCAGCAGGGTCCGGTGTGAAGATCCCTCCTCCGTGAGAGGAGTCGGCAGCAGAGGGGAAGCAGAGGCCGTCGCCCGGGAGAGAGCAGGGAACGTGGCTGCCGCGCGCACCAGCCCCACGGAGGCCGCGAGCCGCCCGCGCGGCCGCGGCCCGGAGCGGGCGGTCCTGAGGGCTCGGCGGGCCCAGCCTCCTGCACCCTGCGGCCCCAGGACCTGGGGGCGAGGCCGGGGTCATCTACAAAAGGGAGCTCGACCTTATCACGAAATGTCAGCCTTGGAAGGGAAGCAAACTGGAAGGGGTCCAGCTTCTCAACGCTCCATATTCCGTTTTGATTATCCTTTTAATAACCCGCTTCTGTGATTAAGGGCGGGCCTCGGAGGGGGCTGCGGGCTCCCGCCGCGGGGCGAAGGGCGCGGAGCCGGCCGTACCCCCCCCCCCCCCCCGGGCCCAACCCGGCCGCTGACAGGGCGCTGCCCCCGTGAGGAACCCAACACCGACCCAACGCACTCGCGGACCGGGGACGCCCCTTCCGGGCGCTGGCGGTGGTTCTCGGCCTGGCAGGCGGCTGCCCTGCCCGCCCGGGAGCGACCGCGACTACAGACCGCTCAGGTGGAGCCTCGCGGCGGGGCGGCGCTGGGCGGCCTCGGAGCTGCCCGCGCGCGCCGCGCCGCGCCCCGCCCCGCCCCGCCCCGCCCCGCCCCGCCCCGCCTTTCCCCCGTCTGCGCTCGGGGGTCCGTGCGCGCTCGCCCCACGGCCGCGGCCCGGGGCTCCCGCCGCCCTCAGCACCCCGCGGCCCTGGGCCGCCCCCGCCGCCTCGGAGGTGCCCCCCCGGCTCGGGCGCAGGGAGGGGGCGGGAGGGGGCGGGAGGGGGCGCCGGGGCGGGGCGGGGCGGGGCGGGGCCGCGGCCGCCATCTTGGGCGCGGGCGGGCGGGAGGCGAGGAGGCGGGGAGGCGGGAGGCGGGAGGCGGGGAGGCGCGGCCTCGACCTCGGGCCCGCCCCGCCCCGCCCCGCCCCGCCCCGCTCAGCACTTGCCCCGCCGCGCCGCGCCCGGGCTCCCGCTTCCCGCTGCGGCCGGGACCGCAGAGCCCCGCGCCCCTGCCCCCTGCCCCCTGCCCCCTGCCCCCCGCGCCCCCGGCCCCGGCCCCGGCCCCGGCCCCGGCCCCGGCCCCGGCCCCCGCCCCGCCCCGCGGCCGCCATGCGGGCTGCGCGCTGGCTGGCGCTGGGCGGCCTCCTCGCGCTGGCGGGGCCGCTGGAGGGCCGGCTCGTGGGCCCGGAGGAAGCCGGCTTCGGCGAGTGCGACCGCTTCTTCTACGCCGGGACCCCGCCCGCGGGGCCGGAGGCCGCGGCCCACCTGAAGATCTGTCAGCGCTTCGGGGGCGCCGAGCGCTTCGCCACCCTGTACAGCGGCCGGGCCCGCGCCCCCGTCTTCTCGGCGTTCCGCGCCCCCGCGCGCCCCCCGGCCGCCCGCGCCGAGCCCCGCTGGCTGGTGGAGCCGCAGGTGAGCACCGGGCCGGCCCGGCGGGGGCGGGGGCGGGGGCGGGGGCGGGGGCGCGACCCGGACGGGGGTCGGGGCCCGGAGCCCCGCCCCCCGCCCCCCGCCGAAGCCGCAGCGGCCAGCGGCCCGCGGCCCGGGCTCGCGGCGACCCTCCCCTTGGTTCCGGGCCAGACGTCCCGGCGTCTCCTTCATTTCCCGACCGCCCGCGGCGGACGCCGTGCGGGCCCGCGGGGAGCCGAGGCCGGGCGCTCTCCGGCCCCAGCGCGGCGCTGCCGCAGCTCCCGGGCCTGGGGAGGCGGGCGGGCAGTTCGTGCCCATTTTGCGGAAGAGGAGGTGAAGGCCCCAGGGAGAGACGAGACCTGTGGAGGCCTCCCCAGCCGGCGAGGTGGGCCAGGCGGTGAGGCCAGGGCGCTGCCCTTTCCGCTGTGGAAAACCTTCTCCTCTGTGGAGGCCGCCTGGGCCTGAAAACCCGTGATGCGCGGGACATCGAATAAATTCCATATGAGGTCGTGTTGAGTTAGGACCATAGAGGTTCATTTTTTTTTTTCTTTAGAGGAACATATTTTTAGAAATGCCATGGGGTAGTAGCAAATGGTAGGGAAGCTATCTCCAACCACTGGGAAGGGCGAACTAGCTTTACCTGACTCCTCATATCTGCACTATCAGACCACTTGGAAACGTGTCATGACTGTTCCGTACTGGCTGGTGAGGGTGACGGTGACCAAACACTGCAGAAGGTCCCCAGAGGCCCTGCTCAACCTGCCTCAACACATCCCGCCCCACCTCTGCTTCTCTGGCCTCCTTCTCACAGACCCAGCCAGGCTCCCCTTTGGCGGGTCCTTCCCCTCTCACCAGCCTCCCACTGGGTCCTGCACCTGCCCCAGCCTCAGTGGCCACCCTAGCAGGGGGCAGAGCTACTCACTCAGCCCACCCACTCCTGATGGCCACGGCTGGCCAATACCACATGGGTGAACAGACTATGGCTTTCAGGTGCTTCATTCAGAGCCCTGGGTTATCGTTTCTGTAATGTCATTCAGATATTTCCAGCTTGGAGAGTTTAGCTGGGTCTCACCCCATCTTGTACCTTAATCTTCTTACCTTCCTGTCTGCCTCCAATCCATAGCCTTCATCTTGGTGTCAGGACCTAGGAGATCAGACATGTGTGAACAAGCCTTTGTAAATCGTACAGACATCAGACATACATTAATCTAAAATTAGTGTGCCCCCAGCACCCCTCAAGCTCTCTGCATATCCCCCAATTCATTATGCATCACAATTGTGGACCTGTCAAGAAACGGATGATCTAGTCCTTTCTCCTTGAGGATCTCATGGACAGCTCAAGGAGACAGAACATGCATGTGAAGAAGACACAGGAATGCATGCTAAACATATTTCAGTTGAATTCAGAGCCCATCTAGAAATCACCTGCTAGGTGCCAGACACCGAGGGTGCCAGGAGACAAGAGAGTAGCTCTCATGTTCTATGGCTTCCTGGTGTGCAGGTGAAGCGTGCCGGGCAGAGGGGTGGCAAAACAGCTGATTAGAGCCATGCCATGTGTGTGTGTGTGTGTGTGTGTGTGTGTGTGTGTGTTTGTTTGTTTGAGAATGAGTTCCTTTATTGACTAGCTGTAAACCTGGGCAGGTTATCTTGGAGCTAATCACAGGGCAGCCTTCAAGATGAGATGAGTTACTATATAAAGTTCTCTGAAGATGCCTGGCACATAAGTACTAGCTGCTATCAGGACACAAGCAAAACCTATACTTTAATAAAGGTAAACAGAGTCCTATGAGACTGAATCCATCTTGGAGGTGATAGGGGAGAGCCTTAGGGTCAGGATGACATTTGTGCTGTGCCTGGAGGATGAGGCAGGGCTCAGAAGAGAGACAAAGAGGAGGAAGCTGTTCCAAGCAGAGGGATCACCAAGAGTGAGAAATGCATGTTCAGGGATTAGTGTGCAGGGAGTGGCTAGAGCTGCTAAACCAGTGGAAGTATGTAGGCTACTGTAAGCTCAAGGGTTCAGAATAAAAGGGAATAAGGGAAGGGAGAGGGCGGGTGTGAAGGATGATTAAGGAAGACTTAGGGAGGCAGAGCCATCATGCAGTTACAGAAAGAGTTCCAAAGGATGAGTTTCGGTAGAAGGAGGAATGGCACTAGGGAGGTGAAGGAGGATGGGGAAGGAGGGGGGATATTGTTCCAAGTGGCAGCTCAAGAGATCAGAAAAATGGTGGTTTGGAAAAGGGCAGGAGGCCAGAGTTCCTGGCTGGGGAGGTCAGGGTGGTGGTGGCAGCTGATGCTTTTCCCTGCAAGATGGGCTGGTGTCCTGCTCCTTCCAGCCTCAGCCTCAGGGGGGTCAGCCAGGAGCCAGAGGGTATCAGGAGGGAGGGAGGGAAGGAAGAAGGCAGGGAGGAGGAAAAGCTGCAAGATGAGATGCAGGAGGGCTCTGGAGCACACTGCATCAGAGTTGACCCTCCTGCGGCCCGCTTCCTGACCAAGGTTCCCACTGCAGAAAGATGCTCAGGGCTCACCGTGGACTTCTGGCTGCTTCAGAGCACCTTGTGATGCTTGCCTTGTGCCCAGATCACCTTTTTACCCAGTCAGCTTTGTAAGAGGCCCAGCAGACAGGGGAGGAAGAGGCAGGAGGCCAAAGGAGCTTGGTGTTTGCCTTGAATGATGAGTCGGCAGGGCTGCACTGGCCCCAGGGGTTCCCAAAGCCCAATTCAGCAGCTTTCACAGCTATCCTGCAGTTTCCCTTGGGAACTCCTGGATTAAGGATCATGGAAACTCTTGTCACTCTTGTGCTTAAAACCTCTGAGGTGCTGGCTGCCTACCATGTACGGGACACAGTTCATCTCTGCATCCTGGCTCCAACTCCAGCCTTGGTTCTCACCCTACCCCACCCCACCCCACCCCACCCCACCCTCACAGTCTATGTTCCAGCATCATCCAGCTGCCTGGCATGCCCCTTAGAAACAGTACTGTTTGTCACTTATGCCCTCTTGCTCATTCCTTTTGCCCCAAATCCCTTTTGTGTGCTGCCCCAACTTGTCCCTCTCTGCTTCTCCTCCTCCATCCTTTAAGACTGCCGAGGTGTCATCTCTTCTAGAAAGAATAGCCCTCTGATTTAGGTCCAGTGCTCAGTGCTCTGATAATGTCTCACTTTTTTTTTGCACTCCTCACATTTTTTTTATAATTACCTGCTTGTGTGTTGGCCTCCTCGGCATGAGCCCTTGTGAGATGAATGTTGCCCCTTGCTCGTCATGCTGACGTTCCTGGTGCCCGGGACACAGGGTGTCTCAACCATTAGGCTTAATCAGGCAGCAGTGGGTGAGATGCTGTGCTTGAGCTTTCCGGGCGGGACATGTACTACTTCACAGGCTTGCCCCATAGCTGGTCAGCAGCTGCTAATGCAAACACGTTCCATATGCAGAGCTGGAATCTTCCATTCCCAGTTCTGGCCTTTGGAACAATGCCAAATGATTTGGTTCTCTTCTCTGGACAATAGCTCTTTGGTGTCAGATACAGGATCCCATGTCCACCCACACTGGAAGAATATAAATGGGATCTTTTGAGGGACAGAATGAGAACTTGAAAAGAAAGCAGAGAAATCAGTGGGCTGTTGTAGGTTTTATATGGAATGTGGTCCCCTTTAAATTGAGAATGGGGAAAAGGCAAAAAAGATGAGAAAATGTTCCCCCTTGGGCATGGTGGAGATGCTTTAGAAGGTTTCCAGTCAAGACTTCGGACACTTGAGAACTGGGTTCTGGTTTAGGACAGGGAGCCTCAAACCTTTTCGTCTTTCAATACCTTTCCATTGAATGGAAGAATTTTTGGATAAGAGATCAGTGATGCCTTACCAATGTACATTGTCAGTTTGTGCTGGAGGCCGTCATCTAAGACTCTTCCTTTTTATAAAGATGAATACTGACCAGATCTGGTGTCTATTCAGCTTATATTTATTTCATCTTACAAAAATACTCCAAGGTAGATATCATTGTCTTCCATTGTAGAAATGAGCAAATGGGCTCAGAGGGGTTAAGTGATGTGCTCAGTGTCACACAACTTGAATTTGAACTCTTGACTATTTTCTCTTAGTCAAGTGCTCTTTAAATACATCATGGAAATTCTTTGACCTCAGTAGATCCATTGCATTGTTGGTCATAGGACTTTAATTCTTCTTATCTTTTATATGGGGATCATAATTTCCACTCCATTTCTCTTCCTGTAGGATAAGTGGGAACACATACTTGGCCATGTCAATGTTGCTTAGGGGTCTGTGGCTCTGGAGCAAAGGGTAGATTTTGGTTAACTACAAAATCATTGTCCTAAAGGGCCTAGTGAGGCCGTATTTCAAGTCTTAGTAAATGCATTTAAACAGTGATCACAAGTTAGATCCTCATTTAGGTTCTGGGTCTTTAATTCCTGTCAGTGGCTTCTTGCCTACACACACTGGGAAACTGTGAAGCCTTTATTCTAACATCAGTCCCTTTTTCATTATATCAGAGAACAGATGCATAGAAGGCATCATACACTTAAGTCTCTGTGCAGCAAACAGGACAATTCTGATACATACTTTCTGGTTGGGGGACTTGAATTCAGACCTCCTGCTCTGCCACTTACAGGCTTTGTGACCTTAAATTCTTCCAGTTCCGTTTTTCCGATCTGGTTATTAGAGGCGACAACAGTGTTTAACTTTACATAGTGGTTGTGACAAACGTCCAAAGTGACACACACAAACATATAGCACAGTACCTGGAATATGGCAAGGTCTTAGGAAATGTTAATGTGTATATTTTGTTAAAGACTTACTCCAATAGGTGTTATTACATTCTTTTTTTAAGAGGGATTGTGAAGGGAGTGGGGAGCAGAGGGAGAGAGGGAATCCCAAGCAGACCCCACACCCAGCACAGAGCCTGACTTGGAGCTCGATATCATGACCTGAGGAGAAATCAAGAGTGGGACATTTAACCGACTGAGCCACCCGGGCCACCCCAGTGTTATTATGT